AGCTCACTCACATGTGAGGGTTCTGGAAGGGCGGCCCGGCCGTGTTCAGTGTGAATCTAGTCATGGGTTTGATGGGAGGATTGGCAAAGTTCAGCTTCAGGGCTTTACGTTTACCTGAGCGAGAGAAACACGAATCAAACGCCGAGGAAACGACCAAACTCATCCCACATGACAGCTCCGAACGATCAGTGATTGAAAACGATACCAACCATGAAATGAGGCGACACAAGGACTGGGCAGATGATTAAATGCATCCCAACCTCCTGAAATCTATAGATGACATGCTTTTTATAGATTATTGGGATCGGAACTGGCAACCTCTGCAACACCTGCGTATTTACAAAAATACTCATCTGCAAGCCTTCGAACATATTGTTGGTAATTTCGCCAATTTTTCTAAACTCAGCTACCATGAAAAGACCAAAGAGATGAGTTTGTAAGCGGTGTGGCATTTCTGTTTCATGACATTCTTTATTACTTTCTGGATTCAGTCCATTCATCCATTTTCTTCCACTTATCCAAGTCAGGGACGTTCTTGCAGTGAGGCTCGAACCACTGCGCTTTGGATTCAATCCACATCCAGAAACTTTTGAAAGGGTTCTTTACGATTGCCTAAATGCACATCTCAATATTATAAGAAAACTTATTCCATTCAATTTTCTTTATGTAGCTTTAAATCACAACAACGGTCTTCAGACGACCCCCTGTGAGCAAGCACTTGGTGACAGTGAGAAGGAAAAACTCCCTTTTAAAAGGAAGAACTCTCCGGCAGAACAAGTCTTCTTTAGGTAGGAAAATAAATATTAATGATAATTTGGAAAAAGTCTAATGCTTAATGTCTAATGTCACCATCTTGAGGTTCTCAACAAAATATAAAAAATTCAAACTTCATGAACTGCAGCCCACCAGTTTACAGATTTATAGCATTCATCTTCATCAGACAATGCAAATAGCACCACGTGAGGTCACATGCTTCTAGTCACATGGATGTTGTCACCAACTGGAACATGAAGACAGAGGTAAACAAATCTGTCTTCAATATCCTTCTGGATCCAGGGATTCAATTCAGGCATGCTGCAGAGAGAATTTTCATCCCCGATGGAGATATGCAGTCTCAAACTGCACAACAGCATTAGCATGAACACACATATTGGAGTTTATTGGATTAAAATGGGATTAATCCACCAATGAAAACAGTCCCCAACAAACGTACAACTTTTCCAGTTTAAATAATGTCTGCTTAAAACCACACTGGCTGTAGCTTTTGGGAAATCGATAAAAACACAGGCCGTTTTTATTTCTATTCAGGTTTGCTGACAGCTCAGTCAGTTACTTTGGTCTTTTCATGGGAGCAATACAACCCTCACCCAACCACATTTGTCATAAAGCTCATAATACTGGAATTAAAAACAAAAATAAACATGGTGGGTCCGATAAGATGCATTCTAAAGTCAGACGTTTTCTAGATTTGGAGTACTAGATTGTCTGCTTCCCGTACAAAGACAATCTTGTAATATTTCCATGTTGCAATACAGACGGGGTTTTTCCTGGCTGACTAGACACGTAAGCATGACTGAGCAACAAACAGAAGGCAACGAGTTATGTTGATTAAAAGGTCAGCGCACTTTCCTAGTGTTTGTATTTTTTGTGATTTTTGAGGAAATGGACAAAACGAATCTGATAATAACACTAAAAAGTTTACTTGGAAAAACAAGTGAATGAATCTCGTTTTGAATAAATCTACTTTAATCAAAAAAATGCAAATAAATAAATAAGTGATTGGAGCAACCTCACTGACTCAACTGCAA